GATTGGACGTGGATTCCGGGTGCCTGAGCGAAGGGGGAACTTGTACCATGAAGTCTTGAAATTTTGCTGGTTGTGTTCTTGTTCGAGTGGGCCTCATCTCGGGAGGATTGAAAGCAGCAAAATAAAATGAAATATAATAGGAAACAAAATAATATATGAAATCCTATAGATACATCCATCGATACTGAATCGGACCTCCAACTATCGCTTCACGTGCCAAATGTACCACAAGGTGTTCCACGGAATGAAAGAATCCCCATGGGAAGACTTTTTCCAACTTGAAGATAGTTTCCACTATACTTGTCTGCAATTGAAGCAAGTAGTCAATGTGTAACACCTTCGAGCATATTGCAAGAAAGAATGTGCACAACTCAGTGATAGCATCCCATATCGGAGTCGGTATCATCCCTTTTATAGAAAGAGGGAGCAGTTTTTGTATGAACACATGACAATCATGACTTTTGAAGCCATAAGAACTAGCATCTTCGACGTTTACTAATGCACCTATGTTAGAAGCATAGCAGTCTGGGTATTAAAGCTTCTTCAACCATTAAACACACCTTTCCCACCTGCTCTTTGTTCAATGTGTAGGAAGCTTTTCGTTTAAAGATTTTACTTCATTCCTCCCTCACATCCAACTTCGGTCGATTTTAGTACTCTTCAATTTCTTTCCTTGCTTTTATGTTGTCCTTTTATTTTGGGGTGTCCATAATAGTGTGAAAGATATTGTCAAACACATTCTTTTCAATGTGCATTACATCTAGGTTGTGTCAGATCAACAAAATGTGTCAATATGACAACTCCCAGAAAATGCTCTCCTTTACCCAATTGGAGGTTACCCCAAATCCCACATTTCTCACAAGGACATCTTGCCGTAGATCGCTCATTAGAGAAAGGAAAATCCAAAAATTCAACTATTTCGATTTGGAAAACTGAATTTATAGTCTCATTCCTATTTATTCGTTTATACATTCATCCTCTATCAACATTAGTCAACATAGTTACAAATTTATGAAATTATGTGTAAGTTTAATTAGTTGCTATATTTAGAATTATATAAACAAGTCCTAACCTTTGCCCAACAATTAGCAACCCATTTCTAGCACAAAATATACTTCAATTTTGTTTATAAATAAAAGTCATGTTTGCCCAACAATTGGCAACCCATTTCTAACACTAAATATACCTCAATTAGAACTATAAATACAAGTTCTAATGTTTGCCGAACAATTGGCAACCAATTTCTAACACAAAATATACCTCAAATTTCGTTTATAGATACAAGTCTTAACGTTTGCCCAACAATTGGCAACCCATTTCTAATGTTTATAAATACAAGTCTTAACGTTTGCCCAATAATTGGCAACCCATTTCTAACACAAATTATACCTCAATTTCGTTTATAAATACAAGTCCTAACGTTTGTCCAATAATTGACAACTCATTTCTAACACAAAATATACCTCAATTTCGTTTATAAATACAAGTCCTA